CCGTTAACTCGTCGAGTCCCCATAACCACAAAATTTCATAAACTCGTCCCTACCCGTCGAGTCTAGCGAGAGCTCGACGAGTTTTCCTTCAACAACACATCAGACAAATCTTCAACTGACTCGCCGAGTTCGTTCTTGAACTCGCCGAGTTCATCTTCATCCATAAGAAGATGTTCAATCGATGACTCGCCGAGTTCCTCTTGAACTCGCCGAGTCCGTCTTCATAAGTTGGGAGATTGCCTTGGACCCGCCGAGTCTGTTCATACACTCGCCGAGTCCTATGACTTCCAGGTTCATAATCACGTCCATCTTTGTTGAGTCCTTTTCTAAACTCAACCAGGTTCTTCAAAAACAGCAAAGGTCGGGAAACCATGACCCGACTCGCCGAGTCCCAAGAACAACTCGCCGAGTCCACTAAGTCCTTGCTCCATAAACTCGATTTCTGTTGGGCTTATTTCATCCAAAGGGTAGATCTGACCTCCTAGGGTCGATATAACACGTAAAGTCACGAACTTTACGTCCATGCATGGGCCTTTTAGCTCAAAAGGACCAAAAATGAGATCTACAAGATGCATGGGGCTCTTATGGCCATAAAGTTGGCACCTTTATGCCATGAGAACCCTCCAAAGTCCAAGATCTGAAGCCATTATGTAACATCCCAAATTTCAAGGCCAAAAATTTCGTTTTTAAATAAGTTATTACATAAAACCATCAGTATAAAACATTCATAATAACATCCGTGTCAAACCAAAATGTCAGTAATCAAAACATAAAACCATATCAGAGTGTAATCCCAAGGATCTCATGTGCGGAAAACATAGTGTGATGCGCTGCGATCAAGCCGGCTCTTTTCCTTTAAAAATGAGTACCTGAAACCAGAACTAAAAACCGTAAGCACGAAGCTTAGTGAGTTCCCCCATCATATCACATACCATACAATCACATAGCATACATACTGCCAGTCAATTCTGGGGTGCCCGACCTACCCGTGTCAAGCCATTCTGGGGTGCTGACCTACCCGTGTCAAGCCATTCTGGGGTGCTGACCTACCCTTCGGTCCTAACAACCGAACCTCGGGGACTATCTCACCCCATACTACTACTATCACACATATCATAACATAATCATACTGTCAGGCATATCTGGGGTGCCCGACCTACCCTTCGGTCCCTACGACCGAGATACGAGGACTATTTCACCTCCTACTACTACCACATAATATCATAGCATAAACATACTGTCAGGCATATCTGGGGTGCCCGACCTATCCTTCGGTCCCTACGACCGAGATGCGAGGACTATTTCACCTCCTACTACTACTATCACATATAACATATCATGCCAGCATATAAACATATCATAAAATACTGTCAGACATATCTGGGGTGTCCGACCTACCCATCGGTCCTAACAACCGAACTTGGGGACTATTCCCCCTGCTACCACTATCACATATATAATATCATGCCAGCATATAACATATCAGGTAGTAGCAAATCTAGATGAATATCAAAGGACAATCATCTAACATACAACTCCTACTGGTGGGTCGGCATTGTGGCCATAGACCCACCGCTACTGGAAGGTAACTCACCTCACACAGCTAAAGTCCCGTAGACAAAATCCCACACTGCTAAAGTCCTGCAAACTCAACCCCAGCTGTTGGCTGACAGATTCCCGAACTGTCAACACCAAAATAACACCCAATTAATAATTAGGTTCCACCACATAACCATGAGTACATACTTTGGATAATTACTACATTACCCCAAGCTTGGCTTTATGCAAGCCCAAGGCCCAATCCAAGGCCCAAAAGTCCAATTATGGCTCAAAGCCCAACATATGGCCCAATTTTCCAAATTGGGCCCAAACCTTTACAAGGGCTTACCATAAGGCCCAACCATTTATTTTAGTCCAACCTTTGACAGTCTTATGGTCCAATATCATATAATCATTAAAGCCCAACTATGGCCCATTTATGGCCTAATTTTCCAAATTGGGCCCAAACCCCTTACATGGGCCTTACCCTAGGCCCATTAATAACGCAATCATCAAGGCCCAATAGAAGGCCCATCAATACACCCATGTGAAATTAGGATTTCACATAAAATGACGATTGGGGTTAAGTGTTTCTCACTTAACCCATTAAGGACTTAATCCATTAAGTCCATCATTCTTCTAAATGAGTCATATGGTGTGATTAGGCTTAATCAGACAACTCCATTATTCCAATGGCCCAAAATTGGGTCCTAATAAATTCAAGCCCATGAATCCAATATTAGGGTTTCCAACCCCATCTTAACCCATTAGGTCCAATTGATATGTCTTTTAATCAATTAAGGTTCACTAGACTCATTAAGATTTCACTAGGCCCATTAGTCATCTGTTTGGGCTTTTAGGTCCATTAATCTTCATTAGGCCCATTAGGGTTTATTAGGCCCATTAAGCCTCATTGGGCCCATTAGTGTTTGTTAGTCCCTTTCCAAACATCCAAACAAGTGACGATCCAACAATGCACACCGCCACCCGACACGGCGGCCGGTGGCGGTAGCCACCACTCACGGTGGTGGTTTCGAGATTTCTATTATTATTTTGGCACCATTACAATGTACAACTCGATAATACACACACACATACACACTAAAAATAACACACGCGCACACACACAACCACCCATATGGTGGCCGGTGGTGGCAGAAAAGCTATAACCGGCGGCAACAACCATGGTTGGCTGCCATGGTGGTGCACTTGATTTCCGGCGAAACAAACCTCCCAAGCACACACATCACACACCAACAGTGGAAATACAACTATATACACACACCCGGTTGCAAAAATAACGCAGCCACCCTCTTGGTGGCGTATGGCGGCCGGCAGGGACAGTAGCACATACAATCATCGATGACAGCAGCGGATGGAGCTCGAAGGCGACGCAGAAGCGGCTAACGGCGGCAGTGGAGCTGTGACGACGCAACAGGAACGAGGGAGGTGGCGGCGGAACCTTCACGATTTGGTTACGCCTCCGACAACTACACTGCGAAGGCGCTCAATACCAAGGCAGCAGGTGGCGGTCTCGTCGTCGTCGAAACGCAGCATCAGCAGCGCACGCCATGGTGGTGGTTACGACTTCCATTGGCGGTTGGGCGGCTCCGACTTGCGTGGTAGCGGGTGGTGGATGCAACGTCTCGTGGCAGCGACTATAGAAGAAGAAGAAGATGAAGAGCGGTAGAGACTCGGTGTTCGAATGGCGGCCATTCGCTGATCGGAAAATGGGGGTGGTGGTGGTGCCGGTGAGGGGGCATAAGGATGGAGAGAAGTGGCGGTTGTATGGTCCTCTAGGGTTAGGGTTACGGAGAGCAATACAACAGTTAAATACCGTGTCTCATCAAACTTCCCTCCATAATGGCAGGAATGGCCCCTCTCCATAACATTTCCTTTCAAAATGAATCCGATAATTACCATTTAAACCCTTAGCATTAAAATCCTTTACAACTTAGGTACAAAATTTACCAAACAACCCCCAATACCTTAATTATGACATATTCAGCCCCTTTCACCTCATTTCCTTTAAATTAAATCCAAATAATTACCACGGAGCCCCTGTCTTCATAAATATTTATAAAATGAGTCCCGAACTCACACTTTTAACCCCCGACTTCCAAAAATGTGGCAATTAACTCCTCGAACCTAACACCCTGCATATATAATTATTTGTTTTAGGCTACCATTCGTTCATTAATTTATTTATTTATCTTAATAAATAAACAGGTGTTACACATTACTTCTACATTACCCTTTAAACCCGAAATGGCTTAGGAATACCCCAAAGATGTCAAGATTCAAGCCCTAAAGTAGATCTATCAAATAAGAAGTCAGGGTTGGAGCTTTTTACCTCCAACAAGCTCGAAATGCAACCAAATCTCAAGATCTACTGACCTCCTCTTGGATCTCCAAGTATTTCCTTCCTTCTTCAAACTTCAAATCACCAAGAATGCACAAAATGGCTAAAGAGCACACAAACAAGGGCTTAGGGTTTCAATCTAGGGTTTCTGGAAATGAGAGGGACGATGGAGGCTGGTTTGGGACGAGTTAAGTTGTTTAAATAGGGTGCAAACCCTAAATATTAGGGTTTTGTCCAAACAGCTCTTACTCGTCCAGTCGGTCTTCCGACTCGTCGAGTAGGTCACTTAAACTCCCGATCATAAGTGGAGTCTACTCGACGAGTTGGGCCTCCAACTCGCCGAGTCCCAGAGTAAAATGCAATATTTTCTTTAATTTAAATGCGTACCAGGAATCGGTGCTACATTTACTCTACTAGATAAGTGTTATGGAGTGATTGCGCTTAATACACAATCCAATCTCAATGGCCCAAGAGTGGGTCCAATAAGTCTAAGGCCCAAATACTCACAATTAGGGTTTTCTGAACCCTAATTAGGGTTTCCACCCAACCATGGCCCAATAGGCCCAAAAATAAATCTTTAAGCCCACTAGGGTTTTGCTAAGTCCATTAGGGTTTGCTAGTGGGGCACCACCCACTGCCACCTCGGGTAGTGGTGGTCAACGGCGGCACACAGCGGCGGCCACCACCTTACGGTGGTGGTTATTATTATTTTTCATTTTTCGATGCTAATTACAATTACAAGGCTTTTAATCCAAAAAATAACCCACACACTCTAACTAACACACACACACACACACACAACCACACCGTGATGGCCGGTGGTGGCGCTTGGCGGCAGCCACCACCTCACGGTGGTGGCGGTGGCCTTTTCCGTGAACTCCGGCTAAACACAAAACCCAAACACACATATTGCTAATGGAAATACAACCACACACACCTAAACACGAAGTAAAACATGCACACAGCCACCTCCCACGGTGGCCGGTGGCAGCAACCGGCGGCGCAACGAAAAACCCGATGAAACAGTTGCAGCGGCGGCAGCGGCGACGGCTTGGAAAAAGGGACGGAGGAACACGTCCGAGGGTGGCAGCATACCGCCATGGCGTCGTCTACAACACCCTGGGCCTCGTCAACAGCACCAGCGACGGTAATGGCGGTGCTTTACGACCACCACAGCAACAACACCCACCTGATGGCGGAACATCGAGTCCTTCCCGATGGCAGAAGGCAGAAGGAGAAGAACAAGAAGATACAGAGGGACGGTGGCGGCGGCACTGTCGTGCTTAATGTCCGGCGACGATTCTCGGCCTCACCACCCGCCGGAAAAGGCAACAGCAAGGCGGCAATGGCAGTTCCGGCCCCTCCTCCATAAAATCCCTTCAAAAGAAGTCTATGATATACCATTTAAACCCCGCCCCTTCAATTCCTTTACAAATTAAGTCCATATTTTACTAAAACAGCCCCCAATATCTTAATTATGACATAATCAGCCTTTCCACCTCATTTCCTCGACGGAGCCCCTGTCTTCATAAATAATTATAAATTGAGTCCGGAACTTACACTTTTAACCCTCAACTTCTAAATTATGCCAATTAACTCCTCGAAACCAACACCCTGCATATATAATTATTGATTTTAGGGCTACTAAACATTCATCAATTTATTTATTTATTTATAAATAACGGGTGTTACAACTCTCCCCCACTTAAATTAGATTTCGTCCTCAAAATCATTCCTTACCATCCTTACGCACCAAACCATTCAAGTAACATGGTCACCATCCTGGGCACACTCTAGCCTTCCCAGGGTAGCCGTGACCAGTCTTTACAAAGCCCTAAAATCCGCGGGTGAACGAATTCCTCACAACAAGTTCACATCTACTTCGTCTGAAATCTACTGTCTTGAGATAGTCTGATTCCCTGACAGAGCACCCATACTGAATCATTATCGTTGAATCCCGTCCGTTTATCTCACAACTAACTACTCAACTTCTGATCACTCGCGGTTCCCACTATAAAACAGGGTCACAGACCCAATTATCCTTGCATATCACTTAGACTTGGCCAAATCTCAACTAATTCCGCTGCGAGTGACTTGTCACTTCCCAATCAACCAGCTATTTCGTTTGTATATGCAATCTAAAACACACATACTAACACCTCCCAAATGCTAAAAATGCTTGAAAACTGATATGCCCGAAGCAGTATGCTGCTACATAGTTGCTTCCCAAAATCAATCGAGACCTCCCTGGTCTCAATTCATCCGTCAGTCATCTGAAATATCGGGTTCCAGCCCGGTCGCTGAGCTAAGAGGCTCCCACCTAGTCGTTTCACACGACTTCTGAACAAAATCCTTCTCTGGAACTAGTTGCCATTAGTTATCATGTCACTGAGGCTCTAACAACCTTCTGATCCAACCGATCGGGTCCATGCGTCGAATCCATACATTACCATACCACGGCTAAAAGTGATTGCTACATGACCAATTGTAGCCTTACATAACAATCTACCTTAAGCAATCCATTGCTTCCTCGATCTCAAAACTGCAATGGCCTTCCTACAGTCTTATCACTGGCTCAGCCAGACCTAATCCATCCAGATAATTTCGAAATCCAATCCGTGGATTTCCATATCCTTACTGCTACACCTGAACTGGTGGGTACTACTGTTCCTTTCGCGTCCTAACAATGCACTCATGCTATCTACCAAACTAGTGAATGCTACCCGCAGACTTACAACCCTCTATCGCTATCTGGCTGCTAGTGAATGCTACGGCTACACCCACAGACTTACAACACCCTAATACTATTTGACTGCTAGTGAATGCTACGGCTAGACCCACAGACTTACAACACTAACACTATATGGATGCTAGTGAATGCTACGGCTACACCTACAGACTTACAACACTCTAACACTATCTAGCTGCTAGTGAATGCTACAACTACATCCGCAGACTTACAACACTCTAACACTATCTAGCTGCTAGTGAATGCTACGGCTACACCCGCAGACTTACAACACTTTCCATACTAGGTCGAACATGCACTCGACCTAACACTCAACTGAACTTGAATTCTAACTGGAACTCTAACCTGGTTCCCAAAACCTGCTATCACGTGACCCCACTGTATCAGTACCGCACCCATGCCCGTGATCGAAGCGTCACGGTAAACCATGAAATCATCTACACCCTCTGGTAGGGTGAGAATCAATGCGTCGCACAACCGCTGTCTGAGAGTCTCGAAGGCTGCCTGCTACTCAGGCCACCGTCGAAAGGCCACCGACTTCTTGGTCAGCCGGGTCAAAGGAACCGCAATCTCGGATAAGTCCCGTATAAATCTTCGGTAATAACCTACTAGACCCAGGAAACTACGAATCTCAGATGGAGACCTCAGAATTTCCCACTGCATCACAGCCTCTATCTTGGCCGGATCGACTAGAATACACTTCTGGTTGACAAGGTGCCCAAGAGATTGCACCCCGCGCAACCAGAACTCACATTTGGAGGACTTTACAAAAAGTCTCTCCCCCACTTAGATTCAACTAAGTCTTCATGGCATGCGAGAATTGAAGGATTCCCAATCCTTTCGCTTTCTAGTATCCCACTGATGACAACATGTGCTTACCAATGCTAGCGATTAATCATCAGTTATACCTTGGGATCGTCCATCCTCTGAAATTGTGAAGAGTACTCTTGAAATCTGGTCCAGTCTGACACCTCAATCCATCTCCCATGCTGTCAACTGAATGCCCTAATCTTCACTCTGGTTGACGAATCCTCGTTCCCACTTCAAATCTTGCAGCACCACTGAACTCTAACCGAACATAGCCCACGCGAGAAATGCAATTCTCTTGAACATCCAATGACCGAACACCCATGCGTCTAACACTCGTAACTGACTCCACTATCTCCATGCTACCAGTCCTGTCCTAGCAACAGTAGTGCCTTGAACTCAAAGGTTCTCCCATAGATAACTGTCGACCATGCCTGAACAATGATAGAACCACTTGTCTTTGACTTCACTGGAGAAATATCACTCTAACCCTGACCGAGGATCTTCCAAACAATACTCCTGCATAGATCTCGACAAAAATCCGGAATGATAACGGTACACGCGGAACCCGCTCCGCAAGATGCATCCCTTTGTGGGTTCATTAAGGACCTTTTGGCATGCAGGATGGCATATATGATCCTTGATAACCCAAACACTAGCAGAAAACCGCCCCGAGATCTGACTTATCCAAACTCACTCACGATCCCAAGCTGATACGTATCCCCAACATCTGGAGGAATACTAATCACCTTCTGCTGACATGACCAACCCCGCTACCCTGTAGTAGCCTAAACCCTCGGAGCGACAAACTCCCTTGTGCACTGTCATGTACGTGCTGCACTGACTCAGGCCCTGCTGGCCTTTCACCCGATGATCAGAAGTCATGGGTCTCTTCTCGGGAATCTCTACTATACGCACCTGGCACGAACCTCTCTTTCCAGGGTGCTCCAAATCAATCTCGCATCTTCAACTTCTTGGAAATCATATCCTTCAGAGTTTGACACCCTGTCACGCTCACTAGTTCACTTGCTCATGGCTAAGCTGCAACACTGGAACATCCTCTGTCCCCAAACCGGGTCACAAACTCCTCCCCGAAGCTTCTAAGATTCTCCAATACTCTCACCGATTCGAGTATGGATCCTGTGCTTCCAATAGTACGGGCCCAATACTACCTTCCACACCTATCCATACTTTCCTCAGTAATCCTCCCGAATCCTCCAAGTCACTTCCTCAAACTGGTACACCCAAGTCTCATTGAACCTCACTACTAACTCACTGAAATATATCCTAGGCTTCCCTAGGTAACCGAACCCACCTAGTCCTCAGCTGCTGAAAGATTCCCAGTAATGTCAACTAGCTACCTTATGAATATATCCACATGCAACAGAGATCAGATAATCCTTCGAGTAAGAGACCCATCCCTAGAACGGTTGGACTCAGACAAGAGCTGCGCAATAGGGTCAAGTCCATCACTCTGAGATTATCCGGCCTGTGTCCCATGTGACTTAGCATATTCACTTAGTAGCTAACTCACATCACTAAGAGTCCCACAAAGCACAAAGCAAACAACATTCAGGCAATGGAAAATCTAACCATCGTATTCCAATCAAACCCTTTTATCCTCTAATCAGGAATCTGTACATGCAATTCAAAGGCTCATACAATCAGGCATAACCTAAACAGGCTATCCTATCACTGACTAATCAGTACTAGCATGCAAGTCTACAAGCACATACAATAGGCATATAAGGCATCCTCCTAGATCCTTAGCCCTAATCTAGCATGCAATTCTCATAATCATATCATAACATGTATGGGTATCTTGGGGAAAACTTACTTGAGCTCGGCTGATTGCACGCATCACACACCTTGTTCTTTTCAAAGTTCTTTTCTCTTTTCAAATTCTTTTCAAATTCTTTTTATAAAAGGGTTTTACTTTTGAAAATTTTCATACCAAGTCCTTAGTTTGAGTTCAGACACACCTGGAAGTGTGCCCGAATCCCTCAAACCAAGGCTCTGATACCAACTTGAAACATCCCAAAAATACAGTATGAAAATTTCGTTTTAAATCAGTAATAAAACCATAGTCATCATACGTCATAGAAAAATCACAATAATGTATCTCAACAATAATATAACAACTGTCATGTATATCATAGTATAAACATCCCAGGCTGAATAAATTGTGTGTGCACTGTAATCTTCCCGAACTCCTCTTTTGAAAACTGAGTACCTGAAACCAAACTGAAAACTGTAAGCACGAAGCTTAGTGAATCTCCCCAAACTACCACATACCATACAATAACACATAATGGGCCTTGCCTACTGCATCGGGCCCCGCTCGGCATCGGACAGAAGTCCGGACTAACTTGGCCCGCACCCACTGCATCGGGCCCCGCCCGGTATCAGACCGAAGTCCGGAATAACTTGGGCCCCGCCCACTGCATCTGACCGAAGTCCGGAATGTACTGAACATAACAAAACATAAACATATATCATAATCATATATACTGCATCGGGCTTGCCCGATATCGAACCGAAGCCCGGAACATATAACACATAACATAAACATGCATGAATCATAAAGACATCAAGCATACATAACTACTTCTCGGGATTTCCCCAGCATCGGACCGAAGTCCAAAACACATAACATAGAACATGTAAGCTAAACCATTGCATCGGGCCCCGCCCGGCATCGGACCGAAGTCTGGTACTACTAACATCTAAACTGGCCGGCATTGTGGCCTTTGACCCGTTCCTACTGGAAGAGGACTCACCTCACACTGCTAAAGTCCTGCTGACAAAACCTTAGT